TGTGTCTGTCTGCCCGTTAGCAAAATATCACATGAATTACTAAATGGATTTTTATAAAACTCTCAAAAATAACTGGGTGTGCAGATACAACTGATTACCTTTTGGCATCAACCTCATTCAAGATGTCCTGATGCATCTCAGTAATCCAGGTAAAAAATCAAAAGGAAAAAAAATTGTTTAGGTCCTCTGGACGGGTTCTTCGTTTTGTCTCTCTTCCAAGAGACTTCTTCAGTCTGAGAGTTTCAGGCAAAATTCAGGCTTTTGAGTCCTGCCTCCATGTGACTGATACTCACATCACATACGTGAAGGACTCAAAAGCCTGAATTTTGCCTGAAACTCTCAGACTGAAGAAGTCTCTTGGAAGAGAGACGAAACGTTTCATTAAAAAAGAACCCATCCAGAGGACCTAAACAATTTTTTTTCCTTCTCATTCAAGATGGCTGCTGCAGCTAAACCACCTTGGAAAACATGCAAATGTCTATAAGTGTTCGTTTTTTACAGATGTTGAGCTAAATGCTGGTGTGGTGATAGCTGAGAGTTGCTCAAAACACAAGCTGAGCACGAAGTATCCCTCTTAAAATGCTGCCTCTGTTACAAGAACTTTAAAAAAACTTTAATAATGTACGTCCACAGCTGACTGAGTCAACCCTTCAAGTTTACTTAATTACAAACAAAACTAAAGAAATCTSCTTCAMGTTTATCYAYAAATTCTACCTTGCAAATCATCTCTTAAACAAATTTAGTAATAGATACAAAGAAATTATACCACATCTCTTTTACTCATTTAGCATAAACCTCTGGAAGGACTTTACCCATTTGTAATGTAATGACATTACAATACAAACAATGGGAAATTAAAGTCAACATTAATATTACAAAGTTCTACATACAGGTATWTGTAAATTCTTGTGTAAAAAACACATTTTTTGTCTTTTATAAGGAGTTTGAAACTTACATGGGTAAAACTGAACCCTGTATGAATAGTAAAGGCGTGGTCACATTGTCCAAAAAATACCTAATTTTGTATGTTGTTGGCACTCTTCTGGATTTTTTTTCTTTTCTGTTATTTTCTTTTTTTTATTAATGCACCAAGTCAGAGATGGGCAAATGGGGGGGCCATGGGTGACTTCCTTCAGGCCTGCTAATGGCTACGTTCACACTGCAGGCAAATCCGACCCAAATCTGATTTTTTTGACCCATCTGACTCATATCCGATTTTTTTATGACAGTCTGAACGAGACAAATCCGATTTTTTCAAATCCGACCCAGGCCGTTTCAGTATGTGGTTTTAAATCGGATATACTGTGGGGAGAACAAGTATTTGATCCAC